GTGCGTGTGTGTGTGTGCGTGCGTGCGTGTGTGTGCGTGCGTGTGTGTGTGTGTGTGTTTGCTATAATAATGGGTATGTATGCTAACATTCACCCAGTCAAAGGAAAGAAAGCAGAAAAAACTGATGTGCTGATGTAAAAAATATCACAATCTTTGGGAATCGATCTAAATGACTGTTGGAACTCCTTGTTAATGGGAGCCCAGCAAACTGTTGTTGGCACCCCAGCCAACTGTTGTTGGGACCCCAGCCAACTGTTGTTGGGGCCCCAGCCAACTGTTGTTGGGGCCCCAGCTCACTGTTGTTGGGACCCCAGCCAACTGTTGTTGGGACCCCAGCCATGGGTGACGGGAACAATCTCCCAACCTCACCGGGAGGCATCACACTACACGCACGGCCACGTAAGGGGGCACGGCAGGGAAACGCGGGAAACTAGATCCAGCCTCATAGAACGCTCTCCCTCAAACCGTCCATCTCCATCACTGCGTCGTCGACCCTCGTCACAAGTGCTATCGTCGTCCCGTTGGTGCTGCCACCTACGTCGGTGCTGCTAATTACACCACTGCTGCCACCTACATTAGGGGAGCCACCTACACGAGTGCTGCCACCTACGTTGGTGCTGCCACGATTGTCACCGACTGCGGAAACGGCGCCTGCTGCCGTCGCGCCGGTGCTGCCACCTACTTCCGTTTCGCCGTCGCTCCGGCGGCGACCCTCGTCGTGCATCAGCACGAGCTCAACGTTGTCAGGCATCGCCGGCGGCAACCGCGTCTTTTCGGGCGACGCCAGGCAACCGTCGACGTTGTTGTTGTTGTTGTTGAGCGCGCAGCGGCGTCCGCGTCCTGGCGCGGGGGCGCCACCCTCCGCCTCTTCGACGAACTCGACGTGGAATCGTCCGCGCACGTTGGTGCTGCCGCCGTCGTACGCCGGCGCCCCCTCGCTGGTCGCGTTCGAGGCCAGGTCGCCGGAGGAACTGGCGTGCGGAGTCGGGGGAACTTGCTCCCGATACTGGAAGAGAAGCAATGTTAGGGAGAGTCCAGCGATGACCCGGGTTGTATGTATGCTGGCTATGCAAGTCTGTAAGAGTATGTTACACGCACGGACTCACGCACGCACGCACGCACGCACGCACGCACGCACGCACGCACGCACGC